CGGCAATCTTCATCAAAAGTGGATAACGAGAACCGGCAATACTTATCAAAACGGGAAACTTTTACCTTCGGGTAGAGACAGACCACAAGAGACTGTCTAAAAAAATTAGCACGGAACTGAATATTTTTTTTCTGCGTGTGCTCCCCTAAGCTAAGCATCCCCTACACGTCGCTTTACTATTTGTCTCGCGAGCCACTTGATTCTACCTTGCTGTATTCCGAAGACTTTGCCGACGCCGTACTTCAGGCACGGCACTGCGGTAGCAGCCAGCCCCCGATCAGCCAAGACTTGCTTTATGGGAACCGCCGATAAAATTATTGAGAGCGGCAAAACTGGTTCCGCTCGACACAAATTGCTAACTAGACTGAGAGGAGAAAATTTGAAGCGGGCGCAGTCCCCTTTGGTGATAAAGCATTGCAGTCAGATAGCCGATACTTGTATGTTACCCGGTACCTGCCCCGTGCTTCCGTACTCAATTTTTAAAAAGTGTATTAAAAAATTTACTATTGTAAGTCACATTATTAGAACTGTAGTACGCCAAAATAGGCTTCACTTTTCTTAAAAGATTAGTTGTGTCTTTATGGCAATCTCTTCTCCTCCTCCACTTTTGATTGGGAGGTCAAGTCATTCACTGTGTCACCAAAGATGAAGCAAAGCGCAGAAGTGACCACCTCACAACTCAATACTAATCGCAACGCGACGGTGTTTACAGTAAAGGGTAATGATGATGAAGAGGCGGAGAGGAGCAGGAGAGATGGGGAGAGAAGGGAGAGAGAAGCTGAACGGAGCTGGCGGGGAAAGGGGGGAGGGGGGCGTCTGAGCGTGGGCCCGAGGTGTGGATATATCAGATGGAGGTGGGGGCACGGAGAGGCAGCCAAGAAAAAAAATAACAAGAAAAGCTCTTGAGATGGCGTGTCTAAACATTTATCTTGTTATAATTCAAGTTTAATTCGAGCCTGTCTCTACACGGCATGGTTAGTTAAACGTGGCAAGCAGGCCTGTCGGGCTCCTCCCTCTCATGCGCCGCCCCCCCCCTCCTCACCTCTCGCCTTTCTCTTCTTTTACTTCCTCTCTCTCTCTCGCTCTCTTCGTCCGGCCTAACTACCCAATTAAATCGAAATCACGTTGTAGCGTTTAACAGCCCGTCGCGTCGCACGCTGCACAGTGGGCGGGGGAATTTCATTTTCCATATTGACGTGGAAATGACCTTAAATCGGAGGAAGTGAGGTCAAAGTGACGGGCACCCGTCTTCGCGCCACTTCGTCTTGTCCTCCGCATCCTCGCTCTACTTTCCCTGCCCCCACTTTGTACCTGCTCGCGATGCGACCTCTAATGTTATTCGGACGAGAGCGGTATAAGCCGTGCGACGAGAGCGGGGGGGAACTTCCCTGCGTGTTCAGCGTGCGCGGCGCGGAGGCGTGGCGGGAGCAGGGCGGCGTGGCGTTCCACATGAATGTGTCGCATCTTTGTCGCCTTGAGGCGGGTGGCGAAGGGGTGCGGTGGGGCGGGGCGGGGCGGGGCGGGGTGCGTGCTATCTCACGGCTTGTTAGCGACCGCGCGCTAATGATTATTGTACGACTAACATGAGGGAGGGGAGGACGAATGTGAGAGGAAAGAAAGACGCGGGCGCAGAGACGGGGGGAAACAGGAGGAGAGGGGGAAGGACGGGAGAAGAGGGGGAAAGGGGAACGGGGAAGGCGACGAGAGCGGGAGACGGAAAAGACGGAGAAGACGAAGGAGGAGAGGATCAAGGGGGAGCGGATGAATGAGAGGGTTGTGAGAAGGCAGGAGAGGGTGGTAAAGGAGGGAGGAGAGCGTGGTGAAGGGGAGAGAGGAGGCTAGTGAAAGGGGGAGAAGAATGGGGTGAGAGAGGGAGTAAAGGAGAAGCGGGTGAAAGGGGGGAGTATAAAGGAAATGGGGGGTGAAAGGGAGGGTAAAGGAGAGGGGGTGAAAAAGAGAAGGGGGTGAAAAAGAGAAGAAGGGGGTGAAAAAGAGAAGAAGAGGGGGATGAAAGAGAGAAGGGGGTGAAAAAGAGAAGGGGGTGAAAAAGAGAAGGGGGTGAAAAAGAGAAGAAGGGGGTGAAAAAGAGAAGAAGGGGGTGAAAAGAGAAGAAGGGGGTGAAAGAGGGGTGAAAGGGGACAAACGAGGGGATAATGGAGGAGGTAAAGAGGGGAGTGAAGGTTAAAGGGGTAGAAGGAGGTGAAAGGGGTGGCGAAGAGGGGTGAGACCGAGGTAAGCAGCAGGGGTGCGGTGGAGACCGAGACGCACGTCATGTCCTTCTTGCCGCCGGGCCGGTAGGCAACCCATTTGCCGGCGGTGCTGCGCGGCCGGGCGGCCCGCACGGGGTTCGGGCGCCCCGAGCCCAAGCCGAGCCGTGGCCGAGGGGAGGAGAGAAGTCGGAGCGTGCTCCGGGAAACTTGTCCCGGGCTAATTGACGCGCTCTAAACTAAATACCTCGCCGGCCAGAACCTGTAAGAGCGGTAGAGAGAGAGAGGGGGGGGGGCGCAGTTGCGGCCGCCGGCCAGCGCGCCCGACACGGCTCCAAACAAAAAAAAAACATATCGTAATATGGGAGGGGGCGGGGCTCGTCATGAATATGCACGTCGATAAATAATAAAGGCATTACCTTTCGTTAAACAAAGTTGGTAGTTACGGTCCAGCCAGCAGCATCAGAGCATGCCGTGTTGCGGGATTTACTTTTTATTTTCATTGCCGCTTAAAAAAAGGAAGTAAAGAACGTGAACAAGAAACAGCGACGAGAAGCGACGCGCTAAATCGTACATCTGGACCGCTCTCACACTCCTGCTCCTCCCTGTCTGGAACGCCTCGCCTCCGGGTGCTTCCGGGGCACAACGCACAAAGTGTGCGGATACACAGGGAAGGGGGGGGGGGGGTCGTGCGGATAGAGTGTTCGAAGCCACTCGACCCGGCATTTGTTTTGACTTGACTTGACTAACCACGAGGCCTCTTTTGGGGTGCGTTATTTAGACTTCAGCCAATCACAGGCAATTTCAATTAAGCATTACGGTAAAGCTGAAATGCAGAAGAATGCGAGGAACAAGAAAACTGAAGTCACCGTGTTACAGCATAGCGATTTCCATTTTATTCTTCCCTGCCTTCTTCTACACTTCAGCTTTACCGGAATGCTTTATCTAATGCCCCCCCTCCCCCTATTCCGTGAACAGTACCTACATACGCGCCTGAATTTGGCTTCATGAGACTAAATCCTTCATCCTCGCGAACACACGGGCCGGGCTCGGACGGGCCTCTGGGTGCTAGGTGGCGGTACCTAGGGACACTAAGAGTTCACTTGTCGCTTTTTAAACATTTCAAGACGTTGATACTAAAACGGGAAGGCAGTGAGGACGCCACTGTTTCGTCACATAGTTCTGATGCGGGGGCGACACGGACCACTAACACAAGTGGAGGAAGAAGAGGCACCTTTCATCCGCCCCCTTTACCAACCACCCCTCGTTCTCTCCCCTCTAACCTCCACCCCGTCACACAAGCCGCCCCCCCTCCCTCCTCAGGCGGCCAAGTGCTTGTCGAAGAGGGATTGGGAGCATCCGCCATTTTTCAGTAGATTGAAGAAAAACATTGACACAGCTTTTGATGGTGGAGCTTGCGAGGGCTCGCCGCGGCGTCGGAAGCCTGCGGCGGCCTGTGAGCAGGGCTCGCACGGCGCGTGGCTACCAGCGTGAAAACAACAAGCATGTCCCCAGCCAGCCAAGGGGGTGCGGGCGCGGACCGGGCGGCCCCACCCCCACACACCATCCCCAGTATCAGCATCAAGATCATGTCATGTACCGCCGAGCAAATTAGGGGGTTCACCGGGTACTTTCACGCCATAGATATTTCTGTTCCCCTCTTCAAATTTTCAACTGAATGATTTAATTGAATTTTACAAAGAAGACACTTGACTGCGTGGAGACATTTTTTGCACCACTGATAGTGCATGTAGCTGACAAATATTCAAAGCTGTGTGCATCAGACACAGTAGAAACATATAAAGAACTGCAATAAAATAACAGTTTTACCACAACTCTATTATTATATTTCTGGATGTAAGCGGATTAAGGTACATGTGCACAGGAGGTCAAGGACGGGGACAGAATGGGCATGAGGCGTTGATGCCCATGGCCATACTATTCCAGTTAGGACTAACCAGCCTTGGCCAGCTCAACCTTCTAGGCCTTCATAGAGCAACAGGCAATATGTACACAAGAATACTGATTAGTAAATTGAGCTATCAGTTTCACACAACAAAATACCAACAGAACTTTTGCAGGGTTTAGACTGGTGGGAAGTGTCATGTCAAATATGCTCTAGTGACTTTTCAAGGCCTCGGATTGGCTGATTTCTAACTAAATCGCAGCTAGTCTAAACATTCTACACAAAAGCGCCTTTACAGTTGTGGTAATATAAATATAGGTTAAGTTACAGTATACTAGAATACTCCACTGAATACTCTACTGCCGATCATTATATTATAAATCAGCACAATGGGCAAGATCTAATAACTGACCAGAGAAATATTTCAGACAATCCCCAAACGTGGTCAAATGCTTCAATACTTGTAAAGCTAAAGAACATACGGCTAACATCTTTCATCCCAAAACAAGGTTGGTTCTCTCGCTCGGGCAACTAGAGAGGTGGGAATTGGTGGTAACGATAGGCTTCATAAGATCAATTACATAGTGGTCACAAGCACTGCCCCAAAGTACTGCGAAGTTTCCAAAGAACGATCAATAAAACGACTGCCCGTAGGTTAAAGAAGTTTTGATAAGTTACGAAGCAAAACAATTACTACATAATAATGAAGTTGAATTTGATTAAAGAAAAACACAACTTGGTGCAAATGGCACATGCTTGACTTTTAAAAATCCTTTAAGTTTACGGAGTAGTATACAATTTTTGACAGAGCCATATGTTACAGTGTGGTTTTATGAGCGGTCACTCACCTACCAGTAAATTGGAGGAGAAAAAAAAAGATCACTCACCTTTAAAATAGGAAGAACAGGTGATGGCTTCCTAACCTTCACTTTATCTTCCAGATGTGTTTTAGTGATGAGTAGTCTTTGGCACACACGCACTAGAAAAGAGGTCGAAGCCTCAATACTTCACGGAGATCAAGACGGATGTCAAATCAGTCAAATGTGGCTTGAACACCGGTCTGTCGGAGTCAAGATAGATACAACAACAACGATACTCTTAGCTCGTAAGGGGCAGTGAGGGGGTATTCCCGCCTCTCACCCCACTCTCCTAAGCTATGTTCAGGTAACATCCACGCTCGGCGCAGGGCGCAGCGCACGCGCACGCTCCTGCAGGCGTGAGAGGGCGAGCGGGGAGGCGGGCAGTCCCCGGCCGTGCGCTGCGTTAAGCGTGGGTGGATCTAAACTGAATACAGCTCAGCTCTACTCCTCGCGGCCGACAGGGTAGGCAACAAGAATTTAATCCCTTAGTGCACGAACTTTTTTTTTCTTTGTGGTGTTTTTCCCCGTTTATAATAAAGTTTATTTAATTGAATACCTTGAAGACTTTGAATCAATTTGAAAAAGAGACCTGAAATTTGCGTTTTGTTGGCATTGGGCATTGGTACAACTGGAAGCAGAAAGGGTGAAGAGAAAATGTAAACAATGCACGAATTTCTGTGTAACAAAATTTTCGGTTCTGAAACTAATTTACATTCAATGCTTCGTTCTTTGGCATATGCAGCATGCTACAAAGAAAATGCGGAAAAAATAAGAAATTTTCATCTACCACAGTATTTTGCCTTTACTGGTTAGCATACTCAGAGATAACTACCTATACTTCGTACGATAACAGCTGTACGTTTGATGAGGTTATGAATCCCTTTTGACCTTTTGGTAAAAATCAAGGTTGTAAAAGTATTAATGTCTTTGTGTCTTTCCCTGTTTTTTCTTATTAGGTAAGAAATATGGATCTTAAAACAATGCTTTTCACGAAAGAAGAGGAAAACAATGTTAAGACTGACGGCTGTTACGATGCTCAGTATGATTTCTGTTTCAAAAGCTCAAGGAAAAAAAAAGAAAAAGGGCGCACATGCTTCCATTGGTAGCTCATAGATTGACTTTCCCTTAATACTTGCTTCATGTGCATTTCATTACTTAAAGCATCTGCAGGTGCATGCTCTTTCAAATAAGCGAACTACTGTGCATTCCGCAGTGGGGAATGCTTACTAGAATCTGGCTTCCATCCTTAGTATGTTTGTGTGCCAAGGACTGTTACAGGTCAGTGTTCAATGCATTTATACAACCTAAATTCATGTGAGATATATCACTTTGATCTTGATGGATGTATGTAGGAGGTCCCAACAGTGTTATCCCTTTTCCAGTAATATTTTAATATTGAACTTTTTTTTTTTTTAATTTTTTTTGTATCTATTTCATAACTATGCCATAAGAAAACAAACGTACTTGTGTACATTTGGCTCTTTCCGAGACTAGGGGGTAGATCAACAGAGCTAGAAATTTAAATAAACATGTTCGGAGTATTCACATTACCAGCTTCTTCGAGTTTGGCTAATTAGCAAATACTGTTTCTCTAATCAAATTTCAGTCCCATTAATCCTCTTATTTGTTAGATTGATTTACAGTTTAATTGGTCAACCTGGTCTCACGGCTATCTTTGTTTCCAGAAATTGAGCGATGACGTCTTCTCTCCTGCCATCCATGGATGAGGTCCCAAGTTCTGGGTAACCAGTAACTCATTTTGGAAAAGTACATCATAAATTTGTGTGTTGATTCAGCTAATAAAGGTACTATGGCTTTACTAAAGTGTGTCTTTTCTTTTCTTAGTTTAACAAATTTTGTGTTCTGTTAGATGAATGAACTATATTGCTGAGGCTGAGACCAATTCAAAGTTTTTTTTGGGGTGGCATTCCAATGATGAGCTTCTCTGTATGTGTTTGAGGGCAAAGCCAGACAATCTACCATCTGAGGTTGGTGCTGTTTCTTCCTGCATACAACTAACTGTTTTGTGTATTCTTTAATGTTCCTTTTCTATTCAATTCTTTCACAGAAATTTATCATTCTACGTGTGGTTATTAATTAACAAAAAAGGCTGTTTTGTTATGATGAGGGGATCACAACACAGAGAACGAGTGTCCTGGATGTATCAAGTAAGTTCGGATATTTGTTTTTTATGGAACAAAGCAGGTAGAGGTCAATGTTGTAGATTTACATCATGTCATATGTGATATTCTCCTGAGCAGGAGTAATAAATGAAAATAATTAAACCAAGCACTGGGAGTGAACTGTAATTGAGACCTCAATAAGGACAAGGAAAAAATACAATTAAAAGATAAATATGTACCCTTATCTGACTTACAGACTTACAGAATTGTCAGCTACAATTTTTTTTCAAACACGGTACAATCTTTGACCCAATGTTACCTTTTGTAAGTTGGAGCTTTCTGGGAAGTAGTTTGAGAGGCAAGTAAGTCTCATTTTAGTGTATAAACATAAGAGTCAGAAAAATTACAAGAATACTTTATAAACTTAAAGTAACTATGTACAATATTTAGTATTTATTCATAAGGTCTTCAAGGCATGATTGTTTTCATTTTAACTATTATGGCTTAGATATAGACCAACTTTTAAATTCTAGTTTTTTGATGCAGGACCAACTCCATCAATTTGGTAGTCTTTTAAAAATGTGAACTGTATAAGAAGTTTTCTTGTTACTGTATTTATTGTATGACTCAACCAGCCAGTGCACTATTTTCCAGTGATGCCCCTGTTTGTTTTAGTGGTAAGAAAACAATGGGTTGAAAACAACAACCATGAGCTGGATTTTTATGCTAACTTTTCAAACCCAAATTTTGTACAGATAGAGTATGTTTGGTGTTTGGAAATTTGTGATTAATTCTAGACACACTAAAGACCATAGCTTTGTCTAAATGTTATCTCTGACAAATACTCTTGGTGTTTTAGTATCTTTTACTTCATTTGTACAATATTTCATTCAATTATTCTGTTGTATGCAGATAACATTTGTTTAAAATGGAGGAAGAAGGGAAGGAGAGAGTTTACGATTAACATATGAAAAAAAATGGATTTAGTACTGTTAGAAAGAAATAGAGGCATAAGCGCAGGAGAACAATGGACAAAAGTTTTGAATGGAATGTTAAATATGAACTACTTCTTTAATTATAAGATCTACTATACAATTTTAGACACAGTTTTGTATCTCAGATCGAAGTGGTTTTCAGTCTAATTGTTCCCCAACCAGCAATCAGATGGTTTAGGTATTTAACATTCCTAATGTAATTTTGTTTCCACAGAATGAAACTTGATTCCTTAAGGAAATTGGGCTTCTATTTGGAACAGCACTTTCTTGTGTCAGACAATCTGATTACAAGGGGCAACTAGAAATGCAACATAGCCATTCAATCTGTTAGCTGTGCAAAGCTCAACCATTCTATTAATTTACCTCTCCGATTGAAGAGATGATGTATGTAAAGAACATAAATTTTATTACAGTAAATGAGTAGAGAGATTGGAATGTGGAATATGCATGAATATACATTACACTAATGACAATGCTCATCCTTAAGTCATTGTATTAATTTTTCCAAATGTCAGTGACCCTTTTTTTTTCTCTTTTTTTTGGAGCGAAATCAATGTGAAATTAAGTTGGTGAACTGACTTGAATGAGAGAAAATAATCAGAAAACTTTCAGAGTATTTTCCATTTTCTGAGTGTCTGTCCACAAAGACTTACTCTCAAATTAAGGAAAGACAACTTTTGAAGCAATTAGCATCTACGATCGATATGTGATTGTCATTTATCAACATGAATATTTACTAAAAACGTTTTGTAAAAGATATGATATGCATTTTCCAAGCATTCCATAGAACTCACTGCTCACATTCTTAGCTTATATACAAAATGTTGAGGATATAGAGTGAGAGTGCCTACTCTACAAGTGGTCCTTTCATTCTTACAAGGAAGAGCAGTTTTATCCAATATTTACATTCATTTCTACATTATTTACTAAAATAGAGGGTGAAAATAAGACGAAGTTTTAGAATTTACATTTGTATTGCTGGGAAGGTGTGTCAGTCATAGATAGACTATTCAAAGAGGAAAGATAAATATTTTTATATTTTTATCTAACTAAGGGTCTCATGATGAATGTGTACTTGAGACAAAAATGTGTAGATGGGTAAGTGCAAAAACTTGGGCTCATTAATTTGATGAATTATGTAGTATTGGTGATTTGACTGGTCAATACACTGCCATTGTCCCATTCATTCCCCGGTTAGTTTGTATCTCCTCATAGGAACTCTGACTGTAACCAATGTGTTTTCATTAAATGAATTTTTGAAAATAATGGGAATTTTTTCATCTATTAAGTCAAATAACATGTCTTTCCATTTGAAGCATATAGAAACAAACGTAACAATGCAGACATGAGAATAGCTGAGATTAATTATCCTTACACTTCCAACTTGTGGTTGCCCTCTATAATTATCATTACCCTGACTAACCAAGCAGAACAAAGTGCTTTTACAAGCTTCCAGTTTGCACAACCAAGCGTTCAGCACAAGTTTTCTGTCGTTGTCTTTTACTGAAAAAAAGGAGGTACTTTGCAACTTTTGTTGAATACCGGTTATGCTCCCAATTCCAGCTGATCATATTTAGTCACATGTCTCCATAAGAGAAAAATCTTGCTCATACTCATCGTTTAAAAATAACACAGCAGTATTACTCATTGACATTTTTCTGTCAGATACACATATAAAACCCTTAAAAGCGAAAGATTGAAGATGAAAATCACTTCTTAGCCACTTAAAGTACCTAAGACAGTGTGACCCTGTCATAGAGAGATGACTTATTTCTCATGCCATAACAGATGTCACTACATAAGACTAGAGTGGTCCACAATTGAAAACATTAGATATAGGCAATAAATTTACCATCCACAGTGTAGTTTCGTTGATATCGCAATCAAATAACAACAATAAATCACAAGAAATAACAACAAAAGTTAAAAGAACAATATTACATTATGTAAAGGATATGAAAGCTCCATTTACTTCATGAATTGGACCACAGCCATGAAAGTCAAATAATAATAGCGTCTCACTGAAAACATTGGCTGGAACTGCAAAACAGCACAGCTATTTATTGCTTTGAGCATCTTTAGTAAGCAAAATCTTAAGAGCCTCATAAGGGAAGTTTTTTAAAATTTGGTAAAAGATTGAAGACATTTTCTGGAATCACTTTATGTTCAGTGGTAAACAACTGCATGAAGTGATAATTGATTGATCAGTAACTCAGATTATAGAAAATAATGCTATATACATTCAAGAGGAGCATCACACGTTTCTTTACGTCATAATAACCTATTAAATTTTTAGATAAATAACAATCAATTAGTAAGATAAAGAACAGTCAAGTCCTACAAAATTGACATTTCTTAATAAAATTTTAATTAAAGAAAAGAGTTGATGCTCCCATGATTCAGATCTACACTGTAATGTGGCAACGTTTCCTTATACAAGTGGTAAAGATTCTGACAGAAACAAATGCTTCATGAAATCACTCACCATTGTATTCACAGCATTAGGTTTGAGCAGCCAGAGATTTTGATGACTGGGTTTGTCCCACCAGTATAGTTTAATTATAAACTTAGAGAATGATTCACTTGGCTTACCACCTACTGAGGGACTTCTATCCTACCTACAACATGGCAAAAGGGTGTCTACTCTATTGTCTGAACAGTTAAAATTGGCAAGAAATGTGATCCAGGAAATGAGATTACCCACGTTCTGAAAAAATGGGTAGTTGTCAGTTTGTTGCTTGCTCACAAAGTGGTGAACTAGGTGTGGTAACAAGGTTTTACCCTGTTCCTGACGAACTTTTAGTTGATGAAATCATTGTATTTCTAAGATTGATTTTTCTGCAATGTGTGAATATCAAAACGTTTTCCTCTTGAACAGTTTATAGAAATCATGATTTATTTTCATATGATGCATCAGGGGTCTTTTTCATCAACGAAGATAATTTAATGCCATCAAAAAGTCAGTGCCGATACGGCATTGATACGATAGTGATGCAGGTTTGTCTTAAAATTAATCCAGAAAGAAAAAGTTTTGATATTCAAGCTTTGTAGAATAGATTATCTTAGAAATAACATCCTAGTAAGGTACACTTTTGAGTCAGAGGTGTGCATACTTCACATTTTATTGAAGATACCTAGTAAAATTATAAAAGTTAAATTACGTAGAAATTATGCCACAAGATTACACTAGCACATTTCTTGAGAGGTAAATATCTCCTACTATTTAAAAAAAATCTCAGATATAGTATTATTAAATTGCATTTGAAAATTAGGATGGAAAGGTAAGTTAACTCTTCCCAAACAAAAGCAAATGGAAGACCTAACAAATGTCAAGTGAAAAAATTCTTATAATTATTCACTTAGAGAGACGTTGACTTATTATATTATTGCATCACAAAATAGATATTCATTAAGATTCCACATAAAGACTCTTATCACTCTACAAAATAGGATCACTGCAATGTGGCAAGTTTCTAAACGTTCAATTGGAACAGAGTACTTGCTCATATAGAAAAAATATGACAAATGAAAAAGGAACAAAAATAAGAGAGATTCAACTACATCCAATATGATGAAGTGAAGGTCATGAATAACATGCACATAACAGTCGTAAAGTATTTACACTAATTGTCTTAATGATCATATGTAACATGACAATCAAATTGTGGAAAAACTAGAAAAGAATTAAATACATCATGCATAAAATTTACAACTTTGAGACAATGTAAAGTAATGGCAGAGCAAATAAAGACAGTTGAGTGAAATGTACAATAAAATCATAGTCTTCTTGGATCTAGTGTTCGCATTTCCTCTGCAAAAGTCCGAGGAAAAAACGGAGATTTCTGGTTTAATTTGTTGGTCATAGACATTTCAGTGAGTGTAACTTGGCTTGACATCGCTGCACGTGCGATTCTCAAGGTTGGGCACATCTGAGTGTGGCGCAGGGCAGGGCAAGGCGTGCGCCCTTGAGCGTCCATTCGCATTACCGGGCCCTTTGCCGGGTCCTCCGTCTGTCCAGGCTTGTCCAGGGGTGGGGAAGGCGCCTCGCTCCACCCGGGGCAGCGCGAGGGGAGGGGGAGGGTGCTAGCCGGGGCCCGGGGCAGGCCGCTAGCCAACCGAGGCTCAATCAGTGGCGAGTAGCCCAGCCCTCGGGTAAGTGGCAGAGGAAGCCGAGCGGGCAACTTTCGACGCCGATTTGAGTCCTTCGGACGTCAAAGCGACGTCAACCTTCGACTGCTGCTGCTTCCCGCTGCGCACGGGCTGTCCCTCCTCCACTCCGGTGCGGGGTGTCCCCGGGTGTCCCTCCCCCGGTGTGGTCGCGGCTGGGAGGGCGCGGTGGTGGGGCGGCGGCAGGGGCCCAGGCGCCGGGGGGCGCCCTAGACGATGGTCTCCACGTCCTCCGTCACAAGGTGGAAGCGCTCTTGACCTGGAAGCGCAAGGTAACGACGTTAGCGCTAACGACGTTTACGGCCCACTTCTCTCTCACTGCCAATGAGGCGCACACACGCACTCTCCAGGTAGTCGGCGAGCGTCTCGTCGCCGGCCGCCCGGGCCAGCTGCTTGGCCGTCCTCCCCTGACGGTCCTTGACGATGAGCGAGGCGCCCGCCGCCACCAGCAGGCAGCACACGGACCTCCGGCCCGCCGCCGCGGCCACCTGCAGCGCGGTCTGGCCCCTGAGCGACACACGCAGAACAGGGTCTTAATCAATTACAGAACACTCGTCTTGTCCCAAAAGTACGTCACTCTTCCTCTGATTCATATTATTTGGCAAAGTACACAGGAGCTAGGCGCCTGCGAGACTCAGGGTAGGCCAGCCCGCAGTACACACATGCACTGAAGACAAGATCTTGCCTACCTACCAGGCGCTATGAGAGCTTACACAGGAAGGACGCACTTAGCAGAGGTTCGCAACGAGAAATGACGGACGCACTTTCTGGATTGATCCCTTACCGCTCCGTGTCCGGAATGTCGACGATAGACGGTGGGGCGTTGGCCAGCAGGTACTTGACGATGTCGCGGTGGTCTGCTCGGCCGGAGATGTGGAGAGCCGTCTGGCCAACGGCGTCGATGGACAGCATGGAATAGCCCTGCTGGTGGAGATCCCTCAGCTGCAGAGCAAAGAATCGGATTGGCGAGCGTTAGAGTTCGTGCGACACGGCATTGCATGGATGGCGGTGGTAGCGTTCAACGAACTTACTCTTCTTAAGTCATTCTCTCTGGAGGCCCTGAGAACTTCTTCCGACGATTTCTCCAGCAAGTGGCTGTGGAAAATAAAAGGTCACAATTCAGGAATACTGCATTTATAAGAAGGCGGAACGTTCTGTTGGGAAATTATTATCAGGTCATAAAATTATCAAAGTACAAAAATAACAGTAAACAAGTAAAATGCTCTGTAATAATGTGATCCATAAGAAGGGGGAATGCCGTGACTTACCTGTACTTAACATAGTTCAGTCCAAATAACTTTTGCTGCGTTCGGCTGCCATGCACAGACACACGCAAACATCAAAAGCACATATACATGCGGGCTGACAACTCTACCTTTCACATCGCTCAAAGCACACCCTAAATTCAAAATGTTCTAATATTTATGGGTTCGCAAATTGAGGACGTCTTTTTGTTGCATAGAACACCATTCTAGTTTATTTCAGAAAGCGGGCACTCTACATCACATCGAACTCCTTTACACGTCAGAATCAAACTATAGCAGAAGCACAAGCTGACCTGGGGTACATTTATGCAACCTATCACTTTCACTTTTATTATATTTATTAAAATTATCTGTTAAGTTTACTAAAGTCGCTTCAAGCAAAGCTGCGGCCTTGAAAACACACAGAAACCAGGCCTTGCGTGTTTCCAATATTCGATGGAGTCGGCTGAACTCCTCATGGCCGAAAGCACACGAAGCTGCCGTCGACAAATAATGGTCGATATCTCTTCCCAATTACAACACACGGCACAGCACACTCCATCGTCGTCGTTGACTTGACCGACGACCTCGCTCGATGCTGTCCTCGTCGCCTACCTGGAGCCCGCGGCCGAGTCACCGCCGTGGCCTGAAGCGTAGGGGACCCCGTCGGTCGAGTACACCGGGGTGTACGAGTGGTGGGGTGCGTGGGCGGCCATGGCCGCGGGGGCGGCCGCGTGGGTGTCCTGAGGGAGAGGAGGAGAAGAAGGTATTATTCGCAGAGCGATCGCTAACGAGTTTGCGAGGCGAGGCTCCAATCAGCGTCCCATTAGTGAGCGCGTCTCGTGAGTAACGTGAGGCGGCCGCGCGCAGCTCCCTCTGCCGCCGGCCTCTCAGGGTTGGAACTTCTCATCGCTGTTCGCCGTTTTTTTTGTTTTTTTTTGCGGTCTGTCTACTTATTGGATTTCGAATAGATCGAGAGCGCACCTTGGTGTCGTCGGTCAGAGGGTCGGGCGAGGCCCTGTCCGAGGTGGACTGGTCGTCCGAGGGCGAGAGCACCTCCTGCGACACGTCCTGCGACGTCTCCTGCGACGTCTCGCGCGACACGTCCTTGGTGGCCGCGCCCGAGCCGCCAGAGCCGCCCGAGCCTCCGGCCGCGTCCTGGACGTCGGGGGCCTCCTCCAGGATGAAGAGCTGGTCCCCGGCGATGTCCATGAGGAAGTGGAGGTGCTCCTGCGCGCGGTCCACGCGGAAGAAGCGCTCCGCCGTGCACGCTGCGGGAGGTGCCAAGGGTAAGCATAGTCGTTCGGCCGTGGTGGGCGGGCTGTTCCCTTGGGGGGTTGAGTACTTACAGTCCACGAAGCACCAATCGGGAGGCACGTTGGGGCTGTCCAGCTTGCAGATCATGGCCCTCACTTGCTCCAGGTCGGCAGCCGGACTCACGTCCATCTCGCCGACCACCAGCGCTGCAGGAGGAGAAAAGGTGGTGAGTGGAGGGTGGGGGAAAGGGCGGGAGATCCTCTTCTAGAAATTGAAGTGTTGACTTTATTTTTCTGTTTGTCGTTGATTTTAAAATAATCGCTGATTTTTGTTTCGATTCCCTCTTATTTTTTTCTGACTTTTCCTGATTTTTTCTACTTTTCCATTTGTTTTTGTTGGGGTGGGGTGAGGGGAGTTGTACTCTGTGTTTTCGGAGTGGAGTGCCCCTTGGGAAGGTGAATGGGAGCGCGGCTGGACTGACTCACCGGCCTGGGCGAGCAGCTCTTTCTCGTAGTGGTGCTGCTCGTAGTCGGGCATGTTGATCCTGAGCACCGACACCCGGACCGACTCCTGGGCCGCGGACTGAGCCTGGGGCCGGCCGCCGCGCCGCTTGGCCAGCATGGTGGCCTGGTTGAGCAGCGACAGCGTGATGACGGACGGCTCCAGCTTGCACGCCTCGCCGTCCACCTGCATCGGGATGGTCTTGGAGGTGACGATGCGCGCCGTGCGGCACTGGGCGATGCAGGTGCCGTGGCCGCCGGCCTGCAGCAGGGGCAGCTGGTACGTGGTCAGCCCCACCACCTCGATCAGCCCGTCGTCCGTGGCCTGCTCGATGCCGAAGGCTCGGTTCCACGGGTGCGTGCCGCCGCCGTAGCTCGGGATGTTGAGGAACACGATGGCGTGCACGCGGTGGTCCTTGAGCTTGGGCGTCAGGTCCTTGCCGTCGCACTCGAGCGTCACCAGCTCGGCCAGGCCCTTCCACTTTCGGCGCACCAGGTCCTTGCCGCCCATCTGACCGTAGAACATCTTGTTTCGGAGCCGCGAGTTGAACTTCTCCGGGTGCGCCTCTGCAAAACCGACAGGAACAGTCACGCATATGCTGCCGGGGACGGAGGAACTGCTGGATGTTCTACCGCCGCCCTGCCTACCTCTGGCCTCGTGGAACTCGAGCGCGATGTGAGCGTCCACCCCCATGGAGAAGTAGTTGTTGACGACGGACAGGGGCAGCTGCTCCTTACCGTCACCCTTCTCCTTGGCATCGTTGTTCTTCTCCACCTTGAGCTGCCAGCGGTCCAGCAGCACCGTCTCGCTGTTGCCGATGTTCGACAGGATCTTAGAGATGGGCTCGTCCGTATAGCCCTTAAAAGAAGCAACAACAGAGACAAACGTTAGTATTTCAAACCTCTAAAGAACAGCAAGGTACAAAAAGCACGCAGAATTGCACCACACCATCCCGACACCGTTAGCAAAAAGAGTAAATTGCAAATCCATCGTTTTATCTTAAGCTAGTGACTGTAGTTTTACTTACCCCGCCCCAGCCGAGCGCGCGCGCCAGGTCGTTCCCGGTGCCGAGGGGAAGCACGCCGACGGCGGGCGGCGGGTGGAAGGTGAGCTGGTCCAGCACGGAGAGCACCCAGCCGACGGTGCCGTCCCCGCCACACGCCAGCACGCGCAGGTTGGGCACCTTCCGGAACAGCTCCAGCCTGCGGGGCACACACGGTGCGTAAGTTATGTGCGGCGCGCGACCGCGGCCGCCGCCGAGCCGCCCTCCACTCGACTCACCCCATCTTGGGCCCGCCCTGCGTCAGGTCGAACACCTGCCGGGGGTTGAGGTGCCACTGGAACTTCTGCAGCAGTTTGACGCCCTGGTTGCCGCCGCTCTTGGGGTTGATGAAGACGATCACGGGCCGCACGTTGGCGGTGGGGATGGGCTTGATGACGAACGCCCGGGGCTCTTTCTCGGCCTGCCAACACCACGACAGTCTGAAGGCCGCGCGCACCGCACCGCCGCCACCAGCCTCCACCACCGGGGGCCGGCCGTCAAACTTGGACTAGAGTGGGAGGTAAGTTCAGCGACAGACATCGTGCTGCCAAAATTGGGCTACGAGGTCAAACCTCGGGGGGAAAGGAAGAGGCGAGGCGTTGCTCCTCCGTCATACCCCCCTCCCCCCTCCCCCGGCGGGCCCCGCTTCAAGGCGTAGCGTGAATAAATCGTTGTCAACTATACTGCCCGAACAATATTGCATTTAACACCATCGCATACGCACCTTTTCCTTCGACTTTTTCTTGGAGGAGCCTTTCTTTTTCGGGGACTTCCGTAGACTGGACTTGAAGCTGCCCCTCCGTGGGAGCTTGACGATCCAGGATGGCGGGACGACGATGGTCTTGTGGGAGCCTGGGGACAGAGCAAGGGAGTCAGCATCGGCGAGGGCGAG